TCACCTGGTGTTACACTCGACTGGTGTTACTGTCACCTGGTGTTACACTCGACTGGTGTTACTGTCACCTGGTGCTGGGCTTACAGGTTCTATCTTCCTTGTCCAATAAGAGATGTGAGTGTGGAGCTACCCCTTGTCCCGATGTCCCCCAAACCAGCAGGTGAGAATCTCTCTTGTGAAAATCAGGGAACCTGAACATGGATGTGCTTTCAACTGAATAAACAAAATGTCTTTGAAATAAAGTATATACTGAACGAGAAATACTGTGTTAGTGTAGCATAATAGCACTGAGTGCAGAGTGTTCTTTTTCATTCAGGCTAAAAGTGTTTCTGTTTTGTTATTGTGCAGATGCTTTTTGTCTGCTGCTCAGCTATTGCTAGTGGTAACCATGTGCTCTCTCTCTCTCACTGCTGATCACTGCATGAAGATATGTAAGTAAAAATTCCATATATGGCAAAGCTGTCACACCAACGATGAAGACATTGACGACACAAGGCATCAGGATATCAGCACACCTGACAGCCGTATAGCATAGCATGATTGGGCATCTTAAGTCATAATAATATGACGAGTATTTTATGAAGAGCAAGGAGACTGCAGAAGACATAGCTGCCCCCTCCTGTGTGAGCCTCACATGACACGGGGGGAGCTGGAGTGTGGCCATCTTCACTCTAACCTTCAGGCACAGGGAGCTTAGAAAATTGAAGACAACAGATGGAGAAATGCACATCAAACTGCAGAAGCAAAAGAAGAGCCAGACACCAAGCGGGGGGCAGGCAGAACGCCGGGCAGTACTGAGAAATGAAAGCAGCCACACACCCTACGACAGGGCTGCCAATTCTCACGCATCTGGCGTGATACTCCTGCTCTCTGGCTCTCATGCTCAAATCTATATCATTCAATTACAAACCTAAAATTAGCGACGTCAAAAGTGTTGGGGTCATTTACAAACCCTGCCGACTGTTTTCAAGGTAATAAAACTGTTACATACATGTAAATGCGTGTGCATGTGTGTGCAGATATGTTTCGAACTGAAAATCTCACCCCAACCAGCTGACCAAAGTCGGTAAACGTGCCAAGGCAGAACGTAACCAAGCCACATCTGTTACTCTCATTCTCACCTGACAGATACAAACAGCCAACACTGTTTCCTGTACAGCAGGTGGAAAGCTGCAGTCCGGTAGGGCCAGTTTCTCCAGAGCTGTTCAGACACTGAGTGTTGATTTTCTAGTGCAGACTGAAACTCAACATGAAAAGCATACTGACTGTATAATTCAAAACAAGGACCGTGGTGAAGGCACTCAAATATTTATCAAAAATATCAACCAAAAAGGTATGCCATGTAAATATGCCTTGTACATCTATGAATCGTGTGTTAAATAACTGTGTTGTGGATTTAAAACAAAATAATATTATCATAAAATCTACATTTATTTTATGTTGTGGAAATATAACGATCACAGATGAGCCAATGTCTGGGTTCCTTTTGATTTCTTTGACTATTAGTCAAACTGAGGCTTCTGTCCCCTTTATCTTTACTTGGGAGTGCATAATGGGGTACATGATGTAAGGCTTCCGGAAACAAAAAAGTCAGGAATACCCGCCCCTTTTACGTGTTACGTCACACGCTATGACATCATCCTTTTATTACCCCGCCCCATGCCCCGCCCCGCCTCCAGTGCCACCCCTTATTCAAGGTGACGTGATGCTTTACGGGTTCCCATCGCTCCCTATCTCCGCTCCTCCGGCATCTTTCTGACCGTCTCTGCACACCGCTCTCACCCCCGATTACCTGCCAAACAGCTCTAACGGACTAGTAAAGATGACCAGCGGCGTTGGCGGAGGGGAGCTCGGCAGCCCCCTGCGGAAATTCAAGCTGGTCTTCCTGGGCGAGCAGAGCGGTAAGTGGCCTGGGGATGCCGACCGGATGCGACAAGTCCCGCAGCACCGCGGAAAACATCCGCAAGCCGCTGCTGTGCCTTGCGAGGGCGCCCCCACACGGCGCTGAATGCGGGCGTCGGTGCAGCCGAGAGGCGCTTCCTCGCTTAACTAACTGGCTTTGATTGTTATTAACGGTCCAGTGACTGTACCGGAGATGCCAGTACGGTACACTACATATTTTCAGCAATTCCGGTCACACCGGTCGAGTGAAGCACCTATGTGCTGAATGCGTGTAAAACAGTTATAATAATATATCATATAGATGCATAAACGCATATCCAATGTAGGGCGACGGTGAACCTATAGTATTTCCCAGGAACACCCAGGACAAGGTGCCAGTTTACGATGTCATTGGAAGCTCACGTGTAATGTACTGGATATGAGAAATGCTCTGTCCATGTAGGGTCAACCAGGAATTAGAAACAATGCCTGATTTAAGTCTAAAAATTCAGGGCCTGCCTCAAAGTAGCATGTTTTGAGTGCAGCAAGCTCATGTCTCACAGAACCATAAACAGGGGCTTGATAACGAGGCCAAACCACAGTGACAGTCAGCAATGATAGTAACCCCAATCAGTTAGATCCAAGCGTGGATGGATTAACTTAAGGAACCCTGTGTCTGAAAAAGTAGGTGGACTTTGCCCAGTGATTCGAGTCAGTTAAATTGTTTTAATGAATTGATTTTTCTGTAATTAGGTTACAAATTTAAGACAATGTCTATGAAATGTTCCTGGGAAGCAGAGAATGTGGGAGATCATTGTTATAATTACATAGTTGCCATATTTAATAAGATGCATGTCTCCTGTACTGGACAGTTACCTCAGCCATTTGTCAATGGTCTGTTCAGATTCACCTGATCACCTCTTGTCTCCTTGCAGTGGGGAAGACCTCTCTGATCACCAGGTTTATGTACGACAGCTTTGACAACACGTATCAGGTAACTACGGCCAGTGTCATCTCTGTCGCTTTGTGGACCGGGCCCCCGTAGAGCCGTCTCTCAGAAGATGGCCTACGTTTGCACTAATCCTGGGTCTCCGTCTCCTCTTGCACTACAGGCCACCATTGGTATAGACTTCCTCTCCAAAACCATGTACCTGGAGGACCGTACGGTACGGCTACTTTTTTCTGTATATTTTTGCTCTGTACGGTCACACTTTTTTCAAAGTCATAATCACCCCGTGTTTCGTTATCATTAGCTGTGCTGTCTCTTGTTTTGTTTCCATGTTTTGTTGTTTCCCAGTTGTCATGTCCCTTTCTTATTCCCCATTTTAAGTTTGTCCCTGTCCCTCATGTCCCCCATCTGCCCCACATGGTACAGTCCATGAATTGCTGGTCAGCAAGTAGGCAATGAGACCCCCTTGTGTTGACACCGGGGTTCCCATCCCTTGGTGCCCCTTAGCTGTCCCCAAAGAGTCGTGCCAAAAGTCAAAGACGAGTCAAAGTATCTTTTGTTCTCAACTTCAGGTATATGATGCATGGAGTCAAACACTGAACCGAAATATTGTTTTAGTTGGTCATAGTGGAAATGAGAAAGTGATAGAGTATAAATATTCAGACATATATACATAATATAAACATGACATTTTAAGACATGGACAAAAGAAATACAGTTTACCACCTAATAGGTCCGGAAAGATGCTAATTTGGCTTGGAAGTTTGCCATGGAAGCAGAATGTGCAATAAATAAATAGATGTAGTTTCGGAGTTCTGAGTCTGTAGCTAGTTGCCCTTTGTGGTGTTTGTGTCAGGAGGGACAGGAGTGTTTTCATTTCCACAATTTATGTAAGGCACAGTGTCCGCTGTAAGCGTGAGCAAGGCGAACCGTATGTCTGTACGAGACACATGCTGGATTGTGTAAGTCGTGTCCTGAGGACCTGTTTAGAGAGGCTGAGGCTGATAGAGTGCCAGCCTTCACGGAGATCCCCACAGGTCGATTTCCTGTTGCCACGCTTTAGCTTCTCCCCTGCCGCCATAACCCCGGCCTCTTACTGTACATCCATGCCTTTCAGGTGCGGCTCCAGCTGTGGGACACGGCCGGCCAGGAGCGGTTCCGCAGCCTCATCCCCAGCTACATCCGCGACTCTACCATCGCCGTGGTGGTCTATGACATCACCAGTGAGTTGGGGCTGAGGTCACAAGGTCACGGGGTCACCCTGGGCGTGCCTGGCGGTGTTCCAGTTGCTGTCGCTGCTGGGTCACCCTCCACGCTTGTCCACCCAGACTCACCCCTATTAGTTTGTGCTTCGGTGCCCCCCCCCGGCACACCTGCCTAACTGTATTTCATTAAGGAACATGAGGGGGTGTCTCCCCGCTTCTGACCAAAGGTCATAACACCCGTCCTGTGGAGAGACGAGTTTGCTTGGCTGGAACCTTGAATCGGACCATTTCTTTCCTCCAGACCTCAATTCCTTCCAGCAGACCTCCAAGTGGATTGATGACGTCAGAACGGAGAGGGGCAGTGACGTCATCATCATGCTTGTTGGGAATAAGACCGACCTGGCAGACAAGAGGTGGGGGGGTCTGCTTCTGCATTCTGTGAGAGTGTCTACAGGGAAGTTCAGTCCCCACTGCTGGTCCTCCCCCTTGTCCTGGTGCCCCCCCCCCGTCCTGCTTCACACACCACCACTCCATTTAGACATCCTTTCCAGTACATTAGTCACTCACAATCATTCAGCTTTATTTTCATTTTTTTACTTTGTAGACCTTTCTGCATTTAGTCATATTGTTTGAAAGTTTTGATTTTTTCCACATCTTCTCTCTTCCGCTTTTTTAAAATACCATCCATGCCACCACCACCACCCCCCCACACCCTCCCCCCGCCCCTGCGGACCATGGCAGATGGGTGTCTGTAGCGGCTGCAGAGGGAAAATCCCAGGAACTCACTGTGATGTACTTAGAGGCCATTGCCAAGGTAGGATGTGACGTCAAGCATGTGGGTGTCCACCAATCAGAAACCTGTACAGTGGGGGGGGGGGGGGGCGTGTCTCATCCTGATGAGAGCCCACCCTTCCTGTGGACACACACGGGGGCCAGGAATCACATCTGCAACCCAGCAGGCAGCTGAACCAGTATTCCTTGCGTGTCTCCTAGGATTTGAGCCCCTCCTAAGTGACCTTTCCTTTCTTTCTGTCTTGCCCCCCCACCCCCCGGAGCAGGCAGATCACCACAGAAGAGGGTGAACAGAGAGCTAAGGAGCTAAACGTCATGTTCATTGAAACCAGCGCAAAGACTGGCTACAATGTCAAGCAGGTAGAGGCTGAGATGGGCGTGCCCCCCCCCGCACCCCCCCAACCTCCCCCAGTCCCTTTTCTAAGCCTCCTCACCTCACTCTCTCTCCTTTGTCCACCGCAAACCAGTTTCTTGCTCTCTTTGTTTGTAAGGGGTGTGAAGCAAGCATGAGCAGAGTTGCCATTCTGCTCCTCCATCACTGTAACCAGAGCCATAGCAGAACCATTATGAATGCAGTCAGAAACTCTATTCTTTTGCGTTATTATCTTAGTACGTAGATTCGTAGAAATATGGCGAAATACGGGGAAAGTGACAGGACTCCCCTCATCAGGGGCCAGTGTGTCCCCCTGTGCCACCGTACTGTACCCTGTCCCCTCCTCGTGCCACCGTACTGTACCCTGTCCCCTCCTCGTGCCACCGTACTGTACCCTGTACCCTGTCCCCTCCTCGTGCCACATACACGGCCCCATCTCTGTCCTGTATCTGTCTCCTGCAGCTCTTCCGCCGTGTGGCTGCAGCCCTGCCTGGGATGGACAGCACCCCTGAGAAGAGCAAAGACGACAGTATCCTTCTTATGGAACGTGCCGGAAGGGACCGGGCTTCCTTTGTACCCTGGCGCCATTCTGCTAATCTAAATATATCGAAATGAGTATAGAATGGGCAGCATGGTGGCTCAGTGAGCTGTGGTGGCTCATTTCACAGCTCCAGGGTTGGGGGTTCAAATCCCGCATCCCCTTTGTTTGCATGTCGCTTGCGTGTTCTTCCTGTATTATAGGGGTTATCTACAGGTTCTCTGTTTTCCACCCACAATGCAAAGCTATGCATTTATGCTGATTGGTGTGTGTGTGTGTGCGTCCTTGCGTGCATGCGTGCACCAATCCTGTGTGTACCCCTGGCATCAACTCTAGGCTTCCTGCATCCCTGACCAGGTTAAGTGATTAAAAGATGGATGGATGGATGGATGGATGGAGTCCATGGACATTTTCATCCATCCATTTTCTATTCCCCCTTGTCCTGCTCAGGGTCACAGGGATCTGGGGCGTATCCCCGAAGCAAGGCAGGGAAGGAGGCGCCAATCGCAGGGCATGCACACATTCATACCTAGGCAACTCCAACTCCCCTTAGCATGGCTTTGGACTGTGGGGCAGAAACTCCATGAGAACATGGGGAGAACTTGCAAACTCTGCACATGTGGGGATGGAGCAGAGAATAAAACCCCATCGACTGTGCTAACCACTGAGCACCACGCCAACATAGACATGTGAAAAGGTATATTGTATTAAAAATGGCGCTGGGTAATGTTGAATAATAATGAAGCGAAATACTGACTAATGAAGCTACTGTGTTGTGTAGGTATTTCTCCTTAATGTCCCACCTACAGTGATTGATATCAAACTGGAGAAGACCCCTGAGCAGCCAATCACAGAGGGCAGTTGTTCATGCTAATGCCCACCACACCTCCTACCCAATCACCTTCCTCCCTCCCCTCCCCAGGAGCTTGTCTCTCAGTGGATGACAAAGCTCCATTGGCCGGGGCCAATTTGAAGCCAACTGTTTCCTGTTGAGTCAGTGATTTTTGGAGCAATTGTGTGTGCAATTACTATTAAACATTTTAAATGCAAAAAGGTTATGGTGATGTTAAAAAAGAGAGAGAGAGAAGAGACTCCACAAGATATGGTGAGAGTTTCATGGCCTTTATTGGGTCTCGCAGCTGCTCTTACTGAACCATTTCCCTGTCTGCTTTTGTCTGCAGATTTGCCACTGTCTCACATAATGTGGGGAAATCAGAAACGCATCGCTAGGGCCCAGCCTCACCGTATGTCCCAGTGCCCTAATACTTTATGTAAGGCACGCTTCTAACCTGAGATGTCTTTTAGTGAGTAATGTGATACACTATATTCAGGGTTGAATCGTTTCTTGCTTTTTAGTGGTTCATTTTATTACGGATTATAAAGGAGTGTTTCCTTTATTCGCAGCTGTGACGGTTTGCCAGGCTCTGTACGCCTGATTAAATTACCAAGACCGCTGCTCTTACCTGGGGCCCTCCAGTCTGAACCATTTTAAACAGTGCAGTCCTGCCAGCCTGACTGCAAGCTACGCAAACTTCTCTATGCGAATACCTGATTTTCCAGACTATTACAGCTAAAGCTGTGTTTAAATTTCATGAATAATCTGGGAATGAGTCCCAGTAGTGAACCTATTGCTATTATGGTCTGTGTATACCAAATCCTCCCAACTCACACTACAAAAATGCTAAATAAGGTCCCCGTGTGTTGAGGTCCTGTCACCATGGCGATGAGATTCTTTGGCCTGTTTGCCCTTTGCCATCATATGCATGCGTTTCAGCAGAGGTGCTGATCGATTGCGTGAAGATAGAAACAAGCCTGCTGGAGATGCTAACTCCTCTGTGTAAAGCGACACTTCTGTAAACCCGGCACAGACCGAACATTCAGCTTCACGGTGTCTGAAAGGGTTTGGCTCTGAAATATGTCTGTTGGTGTTTAGTAATGTTTCTGTGAATAATGTGTTATCTCTAGTGAAACCAGGATTATTAATTAAAACATGCTACATATAAGATGAAATAAAGTTTCAACAAATGGCATCTTGCTCCAGTGCTCCTTCTGTACGTTTCTGGTGTTGTGGGTACTGAATGATCTCACCCTCATCTTCGCATGATACTTTGTGTAACGTGGTTCTGAGGAGTCAGGATCAGCAGTCCTGCACTTTGTCCCAGAGCCCCGGTCCTCATTGGCACGGACAGGGCTGTTTGGCCGGGACATGGCATTTCTTCACATGCCTAATTTTGTTAGAGAAATGTCCACAGAGCTTTGATTACAAGGGCTTGCTGCTTTAACAATACTTCTCGTTTTTTCCCATTGCTGTATATCACTGTTGAGGAACGTGACACATCAACTTTTTATACTAAACCGGGGTCTAGACTTTTCCACATGAATGTCAAACCGGTTCTGCCAGTCCACCGCTATCTGAGGGAAATGCGGGTATTTCATGACTCAGGTTTCACGCGTATGGGGATTATCGCGACTATCGGGCAGGAGAGTAATTGTGAGCCCCCAGCAGACACGCCTCGGTTTCGATCTTAACGCACCCATTGGTGTTAGGAGACCCACCTGCCAGTCGCAGTACTCTGGAAATCGCCTAATATTTTCAAACAGACATTGTCTTTTGATGCGATAATAATTACATTTTTCATATCTGGGCATTTACATCTTTGCTTCTTCGGAATGCCTGACTACAACTATCAAAAACTAATACAGTATTCCGAGGTGATGTTTAAGGCAAACAACATAAATCACAAGTTATCGCCACCCACATAAGAATTTCTCTAAATGATTATTATTCCATTATCTTTCGCCAAACAAATTAGTCACGCTATCAGTTTTTCTTGACATTAAGAGGCTTGCAGTGGGGCGGTATCTTCATCCCCGGAGATCATGCCGAGAAGCCGTGAAGCGAGCGCGTTTTGCTGCGCCCTGACGCCCAAGGTGTGTGGACACACCTCCGAAATCTGGAGGTATGATGCAGCCCATCCGGCAGCTCAGGAATGTCACAAACATCCCGTCTGTCTTGATATGCTAATCTGGGTGTATAACGCTGATTTAGAAATATCTGTTAAAGCCGAGAGGGCTGGCAGTCGTGGCACAGACGCAGAGGAAACGAGACCTTTACTCTTTTATCTCCCGATCCCGGATCCGACGGTCATTTTAACCAGACTGCTGTGGAAGCAGCCCGGCGAGCCGGGGCCATGTCGCTACAGAGCACGGTGATCCCAGACGAATCCGTCTTTGCGGAGTTCAGAGCCCAGTGCCTGTCCACAGAAAACTGGCTATGCAAATACAACACCTGCGACATGGAGGTGTGGACAGAGATGGCGCCGGGGAACGGGAGCAGCGCATCCAAAGTGCACAAGATCAAGGTAGGTGATTAATAACTTAGGTTGAAATATACTTCGACATCAACAGGTCATTAATGAACACCGGAACTCTTAAAATGTTCAACTTATGTACGATGACAGGAGTCTGAAGTGTTGTTAGCGTGTTACGGGGGACAAAATTAATTCCAGGAACCCGCTGCCGAGTTTATTCGGTTATGCAAGAAATTGTTCATTTTTTAGAATAGGCTGCATTATAAATGTACATTTATAATAAGGAATAAAATATTGTTTCCGAACTTCGGGCGCTTGTTTTCTTCCCCAAATGAGCACAAACTGTATGAAATCATCTTCTTGAGCCTTTCACTTGCTTAATTTTGAACTAATAAGCCTATGCCCAAATGTTTAAATAGACCAACATTTTGAATGTATTTAGAAGTGTTTCTTTGCTTCAAAGTTTTGTATTTAAAACAGGCTATAGCCTCCAGACGTTTATTCAAGGTGAATTAGTAGTCAGCTGAGTCATTCAACTCACCTGGGACAAAAGCTGGGTTGGGGCATAAAGTAAGAAGTAAATGGTTCTGATGAGGGTTTTGACGTCACCTCCTTGTCCTGCGTCCACCACAGTGCAGGAGAGTCATTCAGGACGTTTCTGCGGCCACCATGTATGACGTTCTCCACGACTCGCAGTTCCGCGTGAAGTGGGATCCCACCATGCTAGAGAGTTTCGACATCGGCCGCCTGTCCGCCAACACCGACGTGGGATACTATTCCTGTGAGGCACTGCACACAGAGCTTTATTAAAACTAATGGCTGTCATAGAGCTCAGCTTCTGGGTGTTTTATTGACACTTTGCAGAAATACGTTAGGAAGTGAGTGGCTCTGACTGTCTGGCCATTCCGTTCCCGCTGTCTTTTCAGGGCTGTGCCCCAAGCCACTGAAAAACAGAGACGTGGTTACACTGCGCTCCTGGAGAGTCAAAGATGACGAGTATCTGATCATTAACTACTCCGTCATGCACCCGGTAAACAATATCCTCATGTTGTAAATCTAGATTTATGCAAAAAATATTCAAGTACTGTTAACGGATCATTAACACAAAAAGACCCTTTAAGCAAATTTGCATCTTTTTATTTATTTGATGTGTTTTCGTTTATAGGCCTACTTATTACTATTATATTTTGGTTTATGTGTTTTTTACTATAAGGTGTTCTGAATTGTATGAGAAGGTTAATCTAACTTTAGTAAAATTTCACTTCTGTAAGGCTTTGTAGAACGGATTATTTATGTCAGTTGAAAACTGCCAGTATAATATATCTACTTAAGAGATGTTTCTTTACATGGTAGTGATTCTAGGAGGACTTCAGCAATTATGTTCCCCTCAGAAGCCCACAAACTTGTATCTGTGACATCAACGTGTGAGTGTGACTGAGTTGCAGTTCTCTGGTGTTGTTCACAGAAGTACCCTCCTCGCACGGACCTGGTACGCGCGGTCTCCATCATCACCGGCTACATGCTAAAGGTGACCGGGCCCAACAGCTGCGTCTTCTTTTACCTGTCCCAGGGTGATCCGAAGGGTGAGAACAGCCCCCCCCCCCCGTATGCATAGCTGGCTGTGTTAGTGTCATCAGACTGCATTTCACCTGGTATGAAGATGTTTTTTTTTCTAGGACTCGCAGTATTAATTTATAACTGCATAGTTACTCTCAGGAGTGCAGTAGGGGCATGGAAACCCTGGCACATTCAGGGGCCCGGCACATTCAGGGGGCCCAGCACATTCAGGGGCCCAGTACATTCAGGGGCCCGGCACATTCAGGGGGCCCAGCACATTCAGGGGCCCAGTACATTCAGGGGCCCGGCACATTCAGGGGGCCCAGCACATTCAGGGGCCCAGTACATTAAGGGGGCCCGGCACATTCAGGGGCCCTTGAATACGAAACATTATATAATGTAAGGGGGTCGGGTGCCCCAGAATCTCTAGCTCCGGCCAGATTCTCCAGTAATCTGTCTGAATTTGGGGGATTGGATGCAAACCATGTTTATCATGCCTCCCTCTTTTATCTTTCTCTCCAGGTTCCATTCCAAAGTGGCTGGTAAACAAAGCCTCGCAAGTTCTGGCTCCCAAAGTAAGACCTGCACTTTATACCTACTTCCCATGCTGTACCATGAGGGCTGTCGGGAGAGGGGGAGAGGGCATGTTCATTGAGTATTTTCACTGTACGCAGCATTTATTCTGTTTGAATATGGGCAGTTTTAATGACAATGTAATGAGTGACACCCCCAGCGTACATATTTACTTTTATCTGACACATTTATCCAAAGCAACTTACAGTACAGCAGTGGTTTTCAATCCTGTTCCTGATTCCCCCCCGGCAGAATGTTTTCATTCCAGCCCGCACTGCTTTTAACCTGCCTGATTAAGGCAGGGTTGGAATGAAAACATTCTGGCACAGGGGAGATGCCAGGAACAGGATTGAGAACCACTGCAGTTCAGGGATTTGAACCCACAGCACTTCTGCTGTTAGTGCAATTCTCTTCTTGCTGAGGTACAATTAAATATTTGCATATTTAGTTTAATTGTGTGTAAAAGACTTGGTAGAGGAGGACGTGAGACTGAGCCACCGGACAGGTCCTGCAGGTTGTGTGTCACATGACGCACTGATGCGTCACATGACGGAAAGCTGCTGTCTCCTGCTCCATGTGCAACACTGAGATTTGCGCAAGAGACCGGCGGGCGGGAAGGCAACAACCTCCTGATCCATTCATGGCAAAGTGTAACACTGTTTTCCTCTGGGGCACGGTTAAATTACAGACTGTCTGGTATGACAGGGAACAGACAGATAACAGGAAGACAAACAACAATAACAGCGACCGACATTTTAAAATGTTTTGTTAGGTGATTTAAGAAAAACAAGTGCATGTTCTACACTTCTTCATGTAGTTTCAGAATATGGCTTCCAATTTGCCGCCACACGTATGGTTTTGTCACAATTTACAATTAAAGTTGAACATAAATTAAAGCAAATGTTACATTAAAGAAAGTTCATCATGTCTTTGCTGGTCAATTAGCTCTGTAAAACTGTTTCCGGTATGATTTTCTTTTGTATGAAGCATCAGGATTTTGTCTTACATACTCCAACAATAATCAGCCATCACATTTACATTCCAACGTCCTTGGTATCTTCGCTCCATTTCACTAATATATCGGTGAAATCTCTCGCCTTGCTCCTCAATATACTCACCCAAATTTTCTGGAAAGTAATCAAGGTGCGAGTCTAGGAAATGCATCTTGACACTCATTCTGCATCCAAGATCTTGAAAACGACATATCATATCCTTGACGTGAACCTCATAATCAGATGACTTCATGTTTCTGAGAAATCCATCAACGACTTTACGGGATTCTTCCCAGGCTTGCCTCTCCACTGTCACCATTTTGGCTGCAAATACATTGTCCTTCAGCAACCTTCTTATCTGTGGTCCAACAAAAATTCCAGCCTTTCATTTTGCATCACTGATTTCTGGAAATTCACTGACTAGGTACTGAAAAGCTTCATCTTCCTAATCCAATGCTTTAAAGAAGTTTAAGGTCGGCGTCAGTGGACCTGCAGCAGCATACCTGTAAGTTTACATAACTGCAAGCTGCCTGTAAACCCTGCTGACTAGTTTGTACAAAAAATGAGCAAAACTAAATATACTAAAAATGTTTGTTTATGAAGGGTGTTTGAAAAATGTCATTTGATATTATTCACCAAATTTGATGCCGGCTAGTATAATTATACAGGGAAGTGCACAAATAACCATCTCAGAATTGACTTGAGAGGACCGGATGTCAATCTGAGGCGCATTAGCAGAGTCAGCAGAGATTTAATTAACCTGATAATCAAAGTTTATCTTCCAAACTAGTATAAGGATTTAAATTAATGTAGTTTTGTCATTCCATGGAATTTTATATTGACCCTGATGAAGGTATCTGAAAGACAACATAATGAAATAGGAGAATTCTGGGTCAGTTTTCTAGCTGATACTGCATTATAAAGTCCATCCATCTTCTAAACATTTATTCAGTAGAGAGTTGCTGGCCCTGATGGGCAGAAGTACTCTGTACAGGATTGTAGAGTATGTGTATATTACATTGTGAGGACCAAATATCCCCAAAATGTGATAAAAACCTGTGATAAAAACATTGTGGTTACTATTTTTCGGTTCCTTCAAGGGGAAACTCAATTTTATAAAAATATGTGACTGGACAAAAAAACAGAATTGTCAGAAGTCTTGTATTTTGTTTGGTTACTTATGGTTAAGGTTGGCGCTGGGTAGGGGTTATGGTTTGCATAGTTGGGATTAGAGTTTTTCCCATAAAACTGACTGGACGGTCCCCACAATGATATAAATAGAAACATATGTATATGTGTGTGGGTGTCATCACAATGGTTCAATGCTAAATCACAGACATCAGCACTCCGCTTAGGTTTAAGGCACTGTAATTATCCAAAAAGATTAAACGTCTGTTCTGAGATTGATGTTACTTCCTTTAGTTATAGGATATTGCACTGTTTCAATGACTTGGGGGTGTGTTAGTTGACACACACAGTATTTTCATTTGTCTCTGTCTCCCCCTGCAGGTGATGATGTGTCTGCACAAGGCAGGGCAGTGCTACCTAGACTGGAAAGAGAACAACTCTCCAGAGAGGAAGCCTTGGCTGTACCCCGAGCAGAGCGAGTTACCCTGGATGGATCCAGCAGAACTGGTGATCCAGCGCAGGGAGTCGCTGGAGAACGTGGACGAGAGCTCATCACAGAATTCTCCGGGGGGCGAGAAGGCCGAGGACAGTAGCTGAGTGGGGGGGCGGGGCCACCCCCTCACCATCATGGCCCCAAATCACTTCCTGAGCCCAAACTGTAACTTATGGGACGATTCCCCCTCCAGGCTGCCTGCTGGAGTCACTGAGTTATGCAGTGTTTTGCACTCAGATGTCAGGCAGTATTGCTCTAAGTTCCTGTCAACATATTAACCAGATGGGTACAACTGCAAAGAAAAGGTGTCTGCTTACATCTCGCAATGATCAGTTATGGCTCATTTGTACCCATTTCAGTGCCTGACAACGAAGCCTGGAGTTTCGTGATTTTATACGCGGCCATTTGCCTCATTTGTCGCGGATTCAGAAATGAAGTATTTGCGCCCAGATCTTAGATTATGAATAAGATGCTGATGGTGGTAAAAGCTGATCTGAAGCACGTGAAGCTGCTCTTGGGAGGAAAACAGGACCGGTGCGTCGCTGAACTGCAGTCTGGGGGGCACACTTTTCTGTGGGGGGGGGGGGGTCTCCATTTCTGAAGCTGGGGCCTTTCTTGAAATCTGATGAGTCTGGGGCTCAGAATAGCCATCTGCATTCAGTTAAAATTATTCATTTGTATGTAACTGTAACAACAGGCTACTTACTGTTTTATGTTATTTTTATGAACTATGCAACTCCCATAAACTGTAAAGCCTTTGATACAGAGAAAAGCCCAGTGAATCAAGGCGGAGCTTGAAGACAGACTCTGTTAGCACCTAGACGGTGGAGCTTTTGAACCTGCTGTCAGACTTTAGACAGCTGTTGGACTGAGATGTCCTTCTATACTGCTGGGACAAACAAAGTCTTGCTGCTTTTCCTGTGTGATTGTGTGACACAGCTGTAGCGAATGTTAACACACAAACGACTATGCAGATGTTGTCATGATTCTTTCATTGAAAGAGGAAACCACTATATTTATTAACATACTCAATAAATGAACCCGAGTAAAATGTTCTTGTTATGCTGTTCAGAGTGTGTATGGCCACTTGTATCGCAACAAACAGACTTTATTTATGATCCCAGCTGGTGCCTTACTCTCTATGAGAAATTAACACTAAGTTACATGGTTTCACAGGTTATTCCTTTGATTTAATTATTACAATAACTGAATGGAAAACAGATCTTTTTTTCTTTAAATAATAAAGGGAGAAACACCCCCACTGTGCTACACACAGTTGCAGGAATCTGTACAAACCCTCCCTATAAACACACTACACAACCTTAATGACAGTACTGTCCTCTTAAACATGCAGGAGCCTCTTTTGTCTCTCAGTCTGAATGTAATCTGCTCCCACTTCACAGGAGGTCCTTAAATTCCTGGTCCACCTTTGCCTAATATCCTGACACAGCACAGTAGTGATGGGCAAATGAAGCTTCATAAAATAATTGCGGTATTTTTTGACCCCACTAGATGGCGTCCTTGCTTTGGGGCATGCTTTGAGCCCTTTTATGTACAGAGAGCGCCAGCTAGTGGGGTCAGGAAATTCAGCAAATGGTTTGGGAAGCTTCATTTGTCCATCACAACAGCACAGCAAGGCCTTTAAGCCCAGCTACTACAGCGACACTAGCTGACCCTGCTCCATGATCCCCAAGCATTCCTCACCTCACTGTGGATATAAACATCTGCTAAATAAATGTAATGGTTAATTCTTTCCTGTGTCTATACACAGTGCCGTTCCTGCCCGTTAAATGTTTGTTAAGGTAGATGCAGTTGAGCTCGGTGCCAGTAGAGGGCAGCAGTAACAACATATAAAGTTCAGATGAATCAGAGGTCCAGAGTGTTTCTTTACAAACACTTAATGAGCTAAACAGGCACCTTAACCCAGAGTTAGAAGATGTGGCTCACTGCCACAGTGACAGCGAGTGCACAGTGTCCGTGTGCGACAGAAAACAAGGTCACTCCAACTCCACTGTGGCCAAGTAACCCCTTCACACATTGGCTGTCTAGTGGACGGTTCTCTCCTTCTGCCGCTGGTAGTCTGGCGGGGGGGAGGGTAATGACAGATTAAAATCATTGCCAGAATACCTGCAGGCCGGTATCAAAAAGGGAGAAAACAAAATACTCACTGTAAGGGAAGAATCGCACTTTCATCTGGATTTCCCGTGCAGTCTTAAGAATCTCCACCGCCTGTTGGAGGAGCACAGCAGTCACATTACCTAAGATCAAAGCAAAGCTACTGTATCTAACCAGCATCCCATTCCTAGAAGGTTCATATAACCCCAAAAGTTGGGCTTTTCTTTCTGGTACTCACCCGAGAATGCTCAATATCCTGAAAGTCTACCTCATTGACAGAGAGAACCTGGTCACCTTCCTGGAGCCCGGCTCTGTGAGCGTCCGATTCTGGTACCACCTAATGAAGCGCATACAGGGAAGCAGTAAGGGGAGAATCATGGACGATCCAAACAGGAACACTGCTAGACACAGAGAGACAAGAGACCGACGAAAAGAGCCAAATGGACAGGAGTGTCGGCAGCAAGGAGATCACCTTGGAGATGAAGATGCCCAGCTGAGAGGCCTTCCCCCCACGGATGTTAAAGCCCAGCTGTGCCCCCGGGGGCTTCTTTAACAGCACAGTGCGAGGCAGGAACTGAGTCAGCTCGTTGTTGTAGTCTGGGTGGTGGATGCGCTGCTCAAGTACAGAGACACAGGCAGGAACAGTGAACTTCTAAACCATCCGCTGAATGCGCCTGTGACCTTGCAGCATGCGGGACTGACTGGGCAGCACCTACATCCTGAGGAGGAATCCAAGCTGGTGGATTCTCATAGGAGGGCAGGAACACCACCGGCAGCTGGTAATCATCATAAGGGATCTTCTGGTCCATGGATGTGAGGCTGCGCTGAAATCAAAAGGCCAGCACACAGCCCGATATCAGTCAGAAGAGCTCAATCAGATTTAATTCACAAGACAAAGCAGCAGCAGAATTGCAGGCTATTTAATCAACAGAGATTACAGTACTGCGGTACTCACCAAAAGAATCAGTTTTAAGATGGGCAAGCGGATGGATAAAAATTTCAGCCACTTGAAATGGTGAATTTTGAAAAATTACACTGAAAACAACCATAAACACACAGTGTACCAATCATCAAATAAACACTAATCTGCTTCTGTGAGATTCACATGAAATGCCATCATTAGTATTTACCACACAAACTGTAATGAGTAAGCAGCTGCTTCAATGAGAAAAACGTGACTTAAACAAAGTACACTACCAGTAAAAAGTTTTTGCACACCACAGGTTTTTACCACATTTCCAATTATTTCATAAACTGCAGATTTTTTATTCTTATTAAGCATTTTAAGCAATACAAAGTTGAGTCAACAACTATAGATGAAAAATTATAAATGAAAAGTTAAATAAAACAAGTTTCTTTTATAACATGGAAAGAGTATGTAACAGATGCCTTACATCATATTAACTGGTTGTGTGGTGATGGCACAGTCAAATTCTAGGCTGTCCTTTAACTTTAGATACACTAGTTAACTGTTTAATCCTATAAAACAGAGCAGTATTTAATGTCCATTGTAGAAAGAATGCCTCGAATTTTCTCTGCCGTTTTAACAGCTAAAGGAGGTTCCTTTGTGAATCAAAGATAAGAACATAAGAACTATACAAACGAGAGGAGGCCATTCGGCCCATCAAGCTCGCTTGGGGAGAACTTAACTAATAGCTCAGAGTTGTTAAAATCTTATCTAGCTCTGATTTAAAGGAACCCAAGGATTCAGCTTGCACTACGTTATCAGGAAGACTATTCCATACTCTGACTACACGCTGTGTAAAGAAGTGCTTCCTTAAATTCAGTTTGAAATGTTCTCCCGCTAATTTCCACCTATGGCCACGAGTTCTTGTATTTGAACTAATGCTGAAGTAACTATTTGGTTGAACAGCATCCAAACCTGTTAGAATCTTATAGACCTGGATCATGTCCCCCCTCAGTCTCCTTTGCTTGAGGCTGAACAGATTTAGCTCAACTAACCTTTCCTCGTATGACATTCCTCTAAGACCAGGAATCATTCTTGTGGCCCTACAGTATGCTGCACCTTTTCTAAGGCCGCAATGTCCTTTTTAAGATATGGTGACCAAACCTGCACACAATATTCTAGGTGAGGTCTCACCAAGGAATTGTATAATCTTAGCATTACCTCCCTTGACTTAAACTCCACACACCTGGAGATATACCCCAACATCCTATTGGCCTTTTTTATTGCTTCCCCGCACTGGCGAGAATGAGACATGGAAGCATCAACATACACACCAAGGTCTTTCTCATAATCATCTACCTTTATTTCATTGGGTCCCATAAAATACCTGTACTTTATATTTCTATAGATAGAACGTTATCTTGCTAATAACGGTACTCAAATTAACATACTGCTAATTTATTTGTTAGCAAATAATATCAAGTGTATTTTTAGTAAATGTTAAGTGAGTTACATGCAAATGTAGAAAATCTCAGTGTGTGCAAAACGTTTTGACTGGTAGTGTAAGTGGTTATTTATTAATGGGCAGCCCCGTCTTACACATGATCTGTCAACAGTGAACTTAACTAAACTCTAACGGTGGGCAAATTTCCCCAAAACAGTACTTCTGCAAATACTTTTAATAGTTCCTATTCTAGGTAAAGCCCCAGCCTCCGCCCGTACAACAGAGGATCACCACCGTAAAATGCCACCAACTCCGGGGGTGCGTTTCCCAAAAGTATAGTTGCTAACAACGTTAACAGCTTGCTGAGGGGGGCTTTGGGGAAACGCACCCCGATATAGTTGGTTATTTAGCAAGCATTTACTTATTTGCTTAAAGGGGGTTGCTAGTTAGTTACAGTACATATATTTATCTACCTAATCGGCGCCATTTGTTAATATGTTACAATCAATGTGTGCGTTTATCTAATTAACCGGTACCTTTAACTAGTTACACGACATATAATTTACCTAGTTAACCGGCGCCGATAGTTAGTTATATTGCAGACAAATTATCTACCTAACCGGCGTCGTTATGAATTATTCAGACTCAGACATCAGCCCAGACGCTAGCGATTTAACAAAATGTCGTTTTCGTTACCGCTGTATATAGGCAAATAACCAGTATGTAACCCAAACTACTCTACACCTCACCATTTCTCCACGAATTTGTATATTTTAGTTAATGTTTTTAAAAATCAGTCCATATTTACAGTTACTTACCGGAAATAGACAACTCCTAGAAAACACTGAGCCCCGCCCTCTATGGTCAGCTGACCGGTCACATGATCACATCCATACGCAACTCAGAGATACACTTTACTGATCCCAGGGGATGTAGTGCCGGTGTTCTGACAAAACGTCCTACTTTATCAAAACATCCTACCGTAGTGCTAATCGATAGCCCTAACCCTAACTCTTACCCTAACCCTAACCCCCCAAATCCCCCTAAAACGCTTACCTTAACCCTAACCCTAACCCCTAAAACCTAACCCTAATCCCAAAACGGTGGAAGTGCACATGCGCAGAAAGGCTCGATAGCACGTCTCGATAGGTAGGATGTTTTGTCAGAACACCTGCACTGCCGGGCAGGGTTCTCAAGTCTCACGCATTGACCGTGAGACACACGCATTTCAACCAATTCTCACGCCACACTTTGTCTTTCTCACGCTAAGACGTAATGGATAACGCCTATCAAGGCGTCCCCTTATATAGAATTATTGGACGATGCACAGGCATACGTAGTTTTCCGTTGAGTACATAACTCCCGATCGAGTTATACTGAGTTAACAGACACCTACCAGCCAATCAAAAGTAGAATTTCTTGTTTCCGGGTAAATTCCAAAATAACTTACGTGTGATCCCGCTGCAAGCACGTTATTACATGGATGCGCTCACAGATGGATAGCAGAAAAGGTGGACCGAGAGACACTGGTTTCGCTCCTAATGTAATCTCACTCCAAACTTTTAATGAAACGTGAAAGTCTTGCAAACAGGCAAGGTGTAAAGATAGTACACATAGTGCAAACAAATTCAAAAAAGAGCACCCAGTACACAAATAAAATATCCTGGAAAAAGAGACTGTGATACTGCAGAAACAAATATTTAAAGATAATAAATTAATGATGTTATATTTCCAGTTACTGAAAAAATACCAGGGCAGCATGGTGGTGCAGTACGTGGTTAGCACTGTTGCCTCACACATCTGCCAGGGTTCCATGTGTGTGTGGAGTTTGCATGTTCTCTCTGTGTTGTTGTGAGGTTTCTTCTGGGTAATCTGCCCCCCCGCCCCAGTCCAAAAACATGCTGAGGCTAATTGGAGTTACCTAATTGCTCATAGGTATGAATGGTGTGTGAGTGCCCTGTGATGGGTTAGTGCCCCATCCTGGGTTGTTCCCTGCCTTGTGCCCTGTGATGGGTTAGTGCCCCATCCTGGGTTGTTCCCTGCCTTGAGCCAGTAGCTCCAGGATAGGTTCCAGACTACCCATGACCCTGAACAGGATAATTAGTTTCAGAAAATTTATGGAACAAATAGCACTGGACTTTCACTGTACAAGATTGAATGATTTCCTGGTGTGGGGTGGGCAGTGGCCTGTAGGAGAATGTGGTGTAGTGTGTGATGGCAACAGGCAGGAATAATCACCGGTAGCGTTTGATAGTATACTCTGGGGGAATGAGCTGGTGGCTAAATATGCTCCAGGATAGTGCCTCCTCTAGCAGAGGGACAGAATTGTTCATGAAATTGTCCAACATCCTCTTCTCTTCTGCTGAGTCCAATGAGTCCAGGGTCAGCCCTGTGATGGAGCTGGTCTTCCTGATGAGTTTGTTCAGGGTTAGTCCTGTGACGGAGCTGGTCTTACTGGTGAGTTTGTTCAGGGTCAGTCCTGTGACGGAGCTGGTCTTCCTGGTGAGTTTGTTCAGGGTCAGCCCTGTGACGGAGCTGGTCTTCCTGGTGAGTTTGTTCAGGGTTAGTCCTGTGACGGAGCTGGTCTTCCTGGTGAGTTTGTTCAAGTTCAGTTGCTGCACACATCAAAAGACATGAGCTTCCTCAGAAAGTAGAGTCTGCTCTGGCTGTTTTTGTACAGCGCCACCATGTTGTCCGCCCAGTCCAGTCTGCTATTCAGGTGGGCCCACCTCCACGTCCTGGATGGTGACTGCTCTCAGGAGTTTGCTGTTGCACTGGAAGTCTACCACCAGCTCCTTTGTCTTGCTGACGTTGAGCTGCAGGTTGTTCTCTCTGCACCACAGGACAAAGTCCTCTACTAGCCATGTGTACTCTGACTCATCTCTGTTGCTGATACATCCTACAATACCTGTCTAACAACTTCTGTAGATGGCGAGTGCTGAGGCATATTCAATCTGAAAATGGTGTGCAACCTTTTCTTACATTTTCTGGGTTGAACGTCATGTTTCCTTGAAACGGTGTAAAACGTTGTGCAACGGACTTACGGTATGATTTCTCGTTAGGTAGGTGCGTCTGTGGTGTTTACTTAATCAGCAGTGACATTTATATAAACCCCATCAAATTTAAAAGGCTGTTCTCACAATGGATCTTATACCACAGATGCAATGCTTGCGTAACACAACAGGGTGTTCAACGCACCATTGCTTCTGTTTAAATACATATTTTACAATGTTTCATCAGGGCTGAACGTAACCCTGGCATTATACTGCAAGTCTGATGCACAGAGGGTAAACAGGAAGGGAGATAGGATGGTTCCCTGTGGTGCTCTAGTGTTTCTCACCACCATCTCTGACACCCAGTTCCGAAGCCTCACAAACTGCCGTCTGTTACTTAGGTAAAACATGATCCAGGAGACTGTGGGGGCAATAAGCTGCTTTGTCCTGAGCTTGTTCCCCGATCAGGGAGACTGGATGGTGTTAAAGGCACTGGAGAAGTCAAAGATCATGATCCTGACTGTGGTGCTGTCCAGGTCTGGGTGGGCATGGTCTCTGTGAAGCAAGTGGATCAGAGCTTCATCCACACCTGTATGTACCTGGAAGGCAAACAGCTTGGGATGCAGCTGGTCTGCTGCCAGGGATGGAAGCTGTTTTAGTACCTGCCTCTCAAAGGTCTTCATGATGTTTTTTAGTGAGAGCCTCTGGTCTGAAGTCCTTTAAGGGAGCTGGAGTGCCCTTTCTTGAAAGGGGACCACATAGGATGTCTTCCAGAGCTGGGACACCTTCTGCAGACTGAGGGAGATGGAGAACCGGTCCTGTAGGACCCTGCAGAGCTGGCTGGCACATGCCTTTAGCCCCCTTGGGGTGATTGCATTAGGCGCTGCATCCTTGCCTGTGCGGAGTTTTCCCAGTTCATCTGGTCAGCAGAGACAGGCAGCTCAATTTCTTCATTGTGCTAAATAATTAATCAGTAATTAAGTGAGAAGTTGTGCAGTTTATAATATCATGTTACCATGATGTGACACTACTGCTGAGCCCCAAGCAGTTCTGGAAAGTCCGATCATAGCCAGTAATGTTTTATGAAAGTCTATCACTGTTTATAGTCACAGGTTGAGTTATCAGGGGGCACTTTCTAACTGCACGGACAGCAGAAACCCTAACAGAACTGGGCTTTTTATGCTCATGTCCCAGAGAATATTGTGATCTTGTACCTTTGAATAGAATATGTGTGCTAGTCAGTAGGGGGCAGCATGAATCAGTAGATAGCTGTTGGTAAGATGTTGACTTACACCTCCAGGATTGTGTGGGTGGAGTTTGCATGTTCTTACGGTGTTGC